TTTACGACAAACTGTGACTTTTTTGACATGGAAATTATTATTTAAGATTGACAAACATCATATGTGTAATTCGTGGCACAATTCAAACGGGATGGAAAGATAATCTTTCTCTCTCCATTGACTTCAATGCATATTTTTTCCGAAATAAGGTCCCATGGGTCGGAAGTAGATGGGCGGGACTTCGCCTCTCTATAGAATACACAGGATAACATATAAAGAAATAAGAGAGAGAATACAATACTAAACCAGACACACTACTACGACAAAAGTCATTTAATTGATTTATAAATGCACTCGCTAAGAAAACATAGTCCGTTCCACTACGTGTTCCTGTAAGTGTTTACTTCCTGTCCGTCTTCTTCTGTGGATTTCTCTGACTTCCAGCGTCTTTTAACCTCTTTCCTTACTACTAGGGACAGTTTAGCGCTATTCAAAAACGTATCCATGGTGTTTTCTGACGGAGAAAGCTATGACAGCTGACGTTGAATTGACCGGACTTCTTTCTGCGGATTGATATGACTGCCAATAGTCCCTTGATCCTCCTGAAGTCAAGCGTCTTTTAACCTCTTTCCTTACTACTAGCCATCATGAATCCAAACGTTTCGTGCTCTCCACAAATATAAAAATGTATATTCAAGAAGTTATCCACGGTGTTTTCTGACGGAGAAAGCTAATGTTAAAATGACTGGACTACATTCTGCGGATTGATATGACTTCACTTGATCCTCCTTCACAACGGTATGTTCTTCTTAGCAACGGTCTGTTAGCAAAAATCAACAACTTCTGGAACGTCCAAATTGACCAATAAGAATCGAGTATTCAACTAAGCTGTGTAATAAAAACATAGAATACTTTAGAAAAGTGAATGTTATCTTTTTTTAGTAAGTAAGTATAAAGTAATTATAAGCCTCATTTGACAAATAACAATAACACTGTTAGACAGGTTTAGCAACATACTGACAATGACAATTAGGTTTGTTCTCAGGGTGGTCAGACTAAAACGGTCATGAATCCAAAGAAATTAAACCACTATTAAATATCTTTTGGGGAACACTAATACCCAAATCAGTTTCACGTGTCTACTAGCTGCTTACGCATATTTTTACTCCAGATCAAAACTAACTGTAACTACCAGTAAACTGAAAATGCATCTTGATTGTGGGGGAAACTTCTGAAGCAATTAGAGTCAGGACTCAGAGAGAGACACGATGAGAGCTGGAGCTTTGATGGGAAAAACAGACGGTTTATTTGGAGCTTCAGCCGGAGAATTCACAAGACATGCACGGGCCACGAGTTGACCACACGGTTGAGATGCCACAATCAATTCTGCAGACCCCTCCTGTAGCTCCAGGTTTGAACTAGTTCAGAGTGTAATAATCATCATTCTTCAATAGATAGACTAAACAGCTGAGGACACTGAATCACATTTGTTGTCGCTTATGGCTCGAGGTCATCTACACCCCGAGAAGGATTTGTTCCAGGTGTCCCACAACAATAACTATCTCTGACAGAGCGTTGCCCGGTCACAAACTGGTGATAACAACAAAATGCTAGGACAGCCCCTCCTTAAGGGAGATAGCATGCTGCCCAAGGCGGGGCATCTGCGTCAGAGGGCAAAAGGTAAACATCTATGGAAATGATTCCCTGACATTGATAATAACAATACAATCCTAATATTGAAACATTTGATTTATGAGCACTTTTTACTCAACAACCCTTTACACAGGAGCGAGTCTTACACACGTTTCCCAGGACTTTGATCCTAAAAGCAACGATTTAGAGTCTTTAAGATGCTCGTCAAAGTGGGTTTGCAGACGTGGATTAATGGCAAGATCTCTTCTCTGACGTCAATGTGAGCGGGGTCTCTTTGAGGTCCGGTGCAATTTCTCATAATAAAGCCATCAGTGTCAGATCTGCTGAGTGGTCCATTTGTTTTCTTTCTGAGACAAAAACTCAGAAAGAAAACACTGGCCGTCAGCCGACCGGCAAGGTCGACTTCCATTTATTTCACTGAGCCAGCAGCGATGCCTGGTGCTAAAATAACTTTAAACCTATTGTCAGGCTGTGGATATCCTGTCAGAACTACTCGGGTAGATTCAGACAGACTATTGTTATTGTTATTGTTATTGTCTGTCTAGTGTCTGTGTTTGCTATAAAGAGTTGTGGCATTTCTTTTCAACTTTCGTCTGAGGAATATTACTGCTGTAAAATATCTTTCAATGCGCATTCCTTTTGAAGGGATTCTTTAAAGCCTCAAGACGTTTTTGTGCCACTTGCCACTTACAGTGTTACACTGCTTAGTGGAGTTCTCGGTTCTGATTGGTCAATTTGGACATTCAGAGGTTGTTCATTTTCGATAATAGACCGTTGCTAAGGGGGATCAATGGACTATATGGGGCGAAGCCTGCAAGCTAGTTCAGGCAGTCAACTCGAGCACTCATGCTGCATTCATACATAATGCCCCTTGCCACTCTACGATCAACCAAACAGAGTCTCCTTAATATGCCGCTCTATTTAACCGGCCAGATCTCTCTCCATGCATTGCTTGCTGCTGCTATTGCTGCAGCTACTTCCACGTCGCTGCTGCTCGCCTGCCCCCCCACCACCCCAGCTTCCACCTGTAGGCTCGGGGGTTAGTTATTTAATCATCACTCATCGTGCTATGTATATCTGTGGAGTGATGAGGCCCGAGCCTAGACGCCAAACTCAACTATATGCTACTTCTAATAAACATGTTAAAGAAACACGTGAGTTGTCTGACTGAAATGTAGTCATATCAATCTGCAGAAAGAAGTCAATTTAACATCAGCTGTGGACAACAAACACTTGTCTTCATCCATCAGAAAACACCATGGATACTTTTTGAATACTCATGTTTTGGAATATATTTTGGATTCATGATGGCTAAACTTTCCCCAGTGAAGAAAAGGGGAACAAGTCAACACTAACGGGAACACAGTATGGGCTCCGGCCGTGTTTAAAGACTAGTTCATGGGAAAAATAAATGTGAACAGACTTGTTTGGACATTTTTAGGATAATAGATATTTCTAAACTGTCCCCAGTAGAGGAAAGCAAAAGAGCGTAAGAGAAGGAAAGAGGTTAATAGACAGAGCACTAAATGTCGCGTGCACATTTGTTTGAAATGACATTGACCTACTGATGGAAACCATGATCACTATCATAGCAAACATTGAATTAGCAATCATCACAAAGTAAAGCTGAGGCTGATGGGAGGCCGTTATTTCTGCAGGTTGAAAACAAACTACTGGACAAACTAAATAGATGTCCTCAAGGAGAATCAGTCGTTGTTACATTTCATCCAGTTGGAAACATGAATGTGTGCACCTCATTTCATGCTAACTGATCCAACAGATGTACACATTTCACTGTTGATTACATAATAACCATTCCATCCTACATCTGCTCCCTGATCTCACGGCGAATTGTAAGTGGCTACTGCCTGAGATTGCATGCTGTGGTTTTATTAAATGTGCCAACTGCTAGGACTGTCTTAGGGAAGATAGCATTTAGATGCGCAGCTCCACTGTCCTGGAATAGTCTGCAATTGAAATGGAAACTGAGCAATCTGGTGCCACTCAATGTTTTTAAAGCTCGGTTGGATGCTACTCAATCGGAAGCTGTTGGTACCTGTTCATGTGGATAGTTATATAAATTGTAATCCCTGTAATGATGCTGTATGATGTCCTTTTTGTTGTTCTGTTTATGTTTTTATGTTTCATGTGGAACCAACTTGAGCAGAGGCCTGTACTACGAAGCTGGTTCAACCTAACCTGGATATGTTTGAGTTAGCCGGTTGGCCTAAGCCAAAACATACGCGCTCTCGCTAAACTGTACTACGACGCTGGTTATCAAGTGGATCGCTCAAGCCAGCCGTGTCCTATCTAGTTAGGTGCGCGTTCACATGAAAGGGGTGGTATTTGGAGCATTCGACCAATCTCAAACACGGACAAGTGTACTGACAGCCAGCGTCATACTTCCTGAATGAAAAGTGAACTTTAATATTAGTCAAATATGAAGAAGTTAAACTTTAAACATCCATGAGTTAAACACTTTATCCAGGATAAAAGCCACATAGCTGCACCTGCAAGGTGAATACAGCTGGTAAAAGAAAAAGTGTTTGAATGCGTACATTAACAGGTTTATGAAATCACTGCCCCGTCCAAGACACGAGTGGATCTGACTTTAATTACATTTGACTCGAGTGTTTCGTCAACTTAATGTGTTGCTTAAAATAATACTTCTGCATACAGTATGTGACACTGAGTGTTGCACGGCCAGATACGGCTCAAGAAGCTGACTCAAATAAGGAAATATATGATACATTATGATGTGATATATGAATGATAATGGGACACATCAACGTCTGCACTCACAGTGCCGCGGACTGTACTTAATGTTACTCTGATCCGGTTACTTATGTCGTGGCAGATATTTAAGTAAGCTTTCTTAACGCTAATATTATAATAGTCAGATTGCTCTGAAGATGGGAGGGGATATTCTATTAATTTTCACGTTCACAGTCAGTTGATTTTTGCCGGCCGTCTTTCCTGCAACGGCAGTTTTTCTGTATTTCCTCTATCCTGTAATATGACTTGATAGCTTTAAACTCCGCACACGGAGCTCTGATTGGTCAGCAGGCGGTGCTTTCACTGAGTTGATCTCTTAGCCTGCAACCTAACCTCTCCGGAGCAGGTTTGCCGCTCAGCATAAGTTACCATGGAGATCTAGCCCGCTAAGAAGAGAACCAGCGTCGTAGGACCGGAAAGCCAGAGTTTTCCCTGAAGTCAGCCGGCTAAGCGAAAATCCAGCTTCGTAGTACAGGCCTCTGGTCTCCCTTGAAAAAGAGATCAATGATCTCAATGGGATACACCTGGATAAATAAAGGTTTGAAATGAAATGAAATTAGAAAAACACCCCTTATATGTCTAAGAAAACTAACAAACAGAAATGTGAATGTTGTAGAAAAATAAGTGACAAGTATTTTGGAAATGTTTTTACTTTATTGTTTTTTATCTCGCAAGGTCCTTACTGCAAGGGGAAACATTGTACATATGACTGGGCACAGACAATCAACAAAGGAAACAATGACTTCTTGGCATTATTGTGATCAATTCCCACACAACATGGGTCACTTTGGGTCTTTCTATTATTCCACCAATGTGGGACAGAGGCTCCTTAACAAAAACAGCAAACAAAGGAAATGATGTTTCCCTCCAGAGGAGAATGAACACCTAATTATATCAATATGTTAACACCCAACTGTGCGAAGCGCTCTTACGAAATGCTCTAACATACCATGAAATATTAATAATAGTCGCACTGAACACAGAAAAGTGTTTGGTGCCAGCCAGAACATTTAAACAGTCAATTCAATTGGAATGAGTTCATTTAAAATCCCCATGAAAATGAAATGGTTCAGTAACATCTACTGCAAATGTGTCTTCTCCAACATGTTGTCATAGCACAGGATTGTTTTTAACTTGGGGAACAAATGTAAACAATATTTAATTTGGTGACCTAAGGGCTCGACGTTATTCAGCTGGAATGCAAAATGACAAACAAACTAGTTCCCTTTAATTGTGTTTCGCTATCCCTGAGAACCTTATTCATAATGAAAGAAACCGAAAGTCTTGAATAATAAAACACAAGTTCAGCTACAGATTAAATATTTATAGTGGCCGAAGCGTGGGAGTTGAAAACACACAACAAACCATTACCACAAAAGGAATGATGGTGGTGTTATGCTGCCAAAGTGGGAGGGGGTCTGGAGACTTTAATAATCCCGGGATGTACAACAAATTCATCCATTGAATTAGGATGTTAAGCACGGTCCAGCTAACTGAAGACGAGGAATTTCAAGCCAAGGGATTGAAGGATAACACAGATCCGAATTTTGTCATTTTGGCGTTGTTCAGTTTTGCAGAAAGTGTCAGAAAAGCGTGGGAATAAAACAGACCCTTAAAAATAAAAAACAACAAAACCCTGAATGCCCAAAGTGTAAACCAGAGGTCTGATTTAATCCAGCGTCTCCCTGAAAGCAGAGAGGATTGTGAGAGTCCATGATTATTATTTCTGTGGAAGATTCATGTGCTGGACAGTTTACCATCATCAACATGCAATATTTAGACACATATTGTATGCAAATGAGCCTCGCTGAATCCCACACAACATTTGGAAACCATGACAATAAAGGACAATGCACAAGAATATTTGGCTTTTCATGTTCTTGTTTTCTTCTCTGGTCCATAACCTGAAGGAACGTCACGGCGTCCGATCCCCTTCGTTTGATAATTCTGCAAATCCAGCATTTTTTCATCTTTTCTTTTGTATATCTTTAAGGCCACAGTTTTTAGAAAAACAAAATTAAAAAGCCAAACAAAAGCCTGGAACCATTCAGAGTATTGAACCTTTGGCTAAGATTTAAACTACTTCATAGCTACAGTGCCTTTTTACTACAACAGCACATTTCACCGTACAACATGTGCTTTTCTTAGGTGTTAAATGCAGTTATTTATCGTCTAATCTGCAATAAAGCAATATTCTGGATGGCTCTGGACGTGACACATGGAAATCTTGGAACAAACAGGCGTGTGTTTCTACTTCTAGAGACAGAGGGGGGTAGATGGGACTGTTTCGGACCCCTGTGCAGTCTCCACCTTTTACTATTGATGCCCACCACCAGTATTGCATAGATAAAGTATAGGGTGTAGTTTTTCACATATGTAGTCACAGTGTTTGGGGCAAAAAGAACTAAACATTTTTGTCCGTGTATTTCCCGCCCCTCCGTGAAAAAGGAGTCTCGCTCACTGCAGGTTCTCTGTTGGATTTATTACAAACGTGATCACTACGGTATCAAAAAATAGCTGAGGTCATCAAATCTCCCACCCTGTCAGGGTCAAGGGTCACAGTGCAATGACAAACTGTGCAGTGCAACTCCCCCTCCCTGCTCCCCCCCCCCCCCCTCTCAGAGCTCCTCCTTCCTCTTCACCTGGTCACGTCCTCGGAGGCTGCGCATGAAATTGATGAAGCCCTCCTCCTGTGGAGAGAGAGGAACAGAGAGGTTAGAAATCTCTTCACACTTTCTACAACATTGGTGCATGTGCTTCTGGCTGCAAACAAACTATGACAGTTACGGGCCGTCTCCACGGCAGCGTTAAAAAATCTTGAAACGCTTCTGCCCATTCACTTTGAATGGGGTGACGTCACTTTTTTTCGCTTTCGCCGAAATGCATTGTGGGCAGGCGAGCGGAGATTCTCAGGATTTTCAAGATCCAAAGTTGAACAATGTTCAACTTTTGAAGCTGAGGAGGAAGCGTCAGCCAATCAAATGCCGTGTACGCAAATCTGACAGTTCAAGCTCTAGCCAATCAAACGGCGTGTATGCTGGGAGAGACAGACCGCAGGTCATTTCCTCATATTCCAAAACATGGAGGAGAAATTAGCGGTAGCGAATCAATCACCCGGTGCTTTATGACCAGACCTACCGGGATATAAACCGGAGGAGCCAGGCATGGAGGGAGGTGGCAGAGACAGTGGTATGTTTTCGCCTGTTTTGGGGAGTTTATATCCAGTTTACTTCGGGCTTTTTGGCTTCATATGTCGCGGGCGGGAGATTCATGTGATTGGTTGATCGCAAAAAAATCCCCAAGCCTCAGATACGCCCACCTCCAAGATTTTTTTAACGCTGCCGTGGAGACGGCCCGTTAAAGGTAGGGTAGGTAAGAATGGAGAAACCAGCTCGAGTGCGCTAGAATTTGAAAGTACGTAGCCGAAAAAAATCTGCCCCTTCCTTCAGACTTCCTTACAGAGCCCCTCCTCCAACACACACGAACGCGCACATGACCAATGAGGGCACGAGATAAGTTTGTGCACAGATGGAAGGCTGACAGGCAGGTAGGCCATCCAGTTATTTTAGCCGGGCCGGCTCAGATGATTGGTCGTGCTTTTTACAGCGCCACGGCTTCCACAGATGACATTTTTTTATGGATTTATTGTCAAAGCATTTAATATATTCATTGCTATCGGGATGTTAAGAGCATTCCATGGAATACAACAAAAAGTGTATCTCGAGCCGGTTTCTCAAACTTACCTACCCCACCTTTAAGCAAAACAATTATAGGTTTTTTTTATGAACCAGCTTAATTTTTTTAAAGGGGACCTATCATGCAAAATGAACTTTTTGATGTATTTTATACATAACTATGTGTCCCCGGTGTGTCGGGGATCTCACGCAGCGTCAGAAAATAAAACCCTCTCTCTTTTCCTCCGTACCCAAATCTTTTAAAAACGGGGCTACAACGAGCGGATACAGATTTGCTGCCGATATGACATCATTTCGGATGGTGGACCCACAGAGAGTTGCTATCGGAAACAACGCCCGACTGTTTTCGACGTAATCTCATCTTTGTTTACATTAGCAAGCCTCGCTAACACTCAGAGCTAACCTGTACTGGAGAGCACATGTGTTTAAGAAGCAGGAAATAATCCTTGATGTGGTTTAGAACAGGAGGGCGTTTTATCACAGCAGAATTTCACTTGATCTAATTCTGATCAGGCATTAGCTCCGCCTCCTCTTCTTTCTTTTTTTTAAGCCAAGGAACCCAAAATCCGCATTTCTCTAACAGGGCTGCAAAAGAGGGATATGAGGGATGTCTAAAATGCATGATCTGTTTGTAGTTTGAGCAAAACACATCATAGACATGTTTTTATATATCTGAGACCCATAATATATGCCTTAAAATAGCACGATAGGTGCACTTTAAACAAGAAGAAAATGGGATTCTTGGTACAGTTTCTGAGACGGTAAGTAACAACCAAGAGAGAATGAGGTGAGACATGTTGCACTACTTACCCCACGATCGCCGTTGTATTTTTCCACAAACTTGCCGTAGTTGTAGTGGTTAAATGTCGGGTATCCCTCCACTTCCTCCTGCTTACAGAGCTCGTTGTTCTGTCCTCGTGTGCAGTCTACAGCCGCGTACATAATCTGAGGAAAAACAGAGCAGTAACTGTCAGTGTGTGATGTTGCACAGAGCACAGAGCAATATACATAACAGAGAAATCACTGAAAGAGGACATACAGTATTCTGCTCATGTTCATATCTTTATTTTGCACAAGTTTCACATAGTGATGTCACTATGTTCAGGAAGTAAACAAAGGAGGCATTTCAGACATGTACAAAAACCTATATTACACATTACAGGATAGGGAAACCCCAAAAAGAATAATAAGGTCTCTTTAAAAAAAGGTGCAGAATTATCCGATCCGTGAAATTGTAAAACATAAATAAAATCTACGACTCAATTCATGTAATTAACACAAAGACTCTCATGTGCCATTTTCTCTTGCCTTGGAGAGCATGTTCCAGAAATCCTAGAATGCAAGTTTATTATAAGAAAGTTCCAAAGTGCCGTAGTAAGTATTTCATCTACGTTTGAGGAAGAGCCATTTTGTATAATATTGAAATGTAGATGAATAACCCACGTACTCATTGTCCCGTCTGTGGATATTAAACCCAGAGGACATCCTTGTCTTTGTGCAACCTTTGGAAAGGGTTATTAAAAGATTGTTTTATTGCTCGGTCACAATGATTTTAATTCACAGCTGGCATTTTCTATAGTTTTGGTTCACCTTCTCATCAGCACTCCGAAGCAAATACCTTTGATATTATTGTTGATGTACGAAATAGTACACAGGACAGGAAAATGGTAATAGAGAGCTCATTAATAACCAACTGTAAAATGAACATCTACTACGTGACAAGTTCATGTTTTCAGCCTTGTGGCAATAATGTCGCGTTTCCACTACCCGGCCTCGCTCTGCCTCGCTCGGTATGGCTGGGCCTCGTTAGGACTGGCTCACTTTATGGCGCATTTCCATTACAGTTTAGGAACTGGGGTAGTATCTATAGTAACGCAGTGTAGGCGGAGCCGTGACGTCATCTTCAATGAGAACCCCAGAAAAACAACACAGCCGTT